TGAAAATTGATTTGTAACATGAAGACTAAAAAAACATCTCTAGTCTATAATACTACACTTCCACTTGCTCATTTCACAGTTTGATGGGGTTTTGAAGTGAACCTTCCTTAGTCAACCACCCAAAAACCAAAACTCACAATATCTTATTAGTTATTACAGTCCATGAGCATGTGCAGATTCTATCTTTTACAAGTATTTTACTTGTTTCGGCGTAGAGAGAACCACAAGGACACTGATGTAGACAGGAATTGATACCAAGTCTCTAACCATATTTTATCTCCTCGGTAATTGGTTCAAGTGCTCAATAATAATTCTAAAACCATATTTCCCAATATCCAAATGAGAAATTCAAACTAATTAAAGGAACCCTAAGCAATGACAAACATAAACAAAAACAAGCCAAAAAAAAAAAAAAAACCAAAAACCTCAACATACATATACACACAGCATCAATCAAAATTCTAAAAAATACCCAGATAATAATTTCACCACAAAAGGTATAATTAAAAAAAAAGTAAAAATTGTCACCTCATGAAAGTTACAAACAGGAGTAGCTTCCCAAGCCTTTTTCCCAGGAGAATACTCAATATCAACAGAAACATTAGGAAGAACAACATCATCAGAGATCAAAATATCCCTTTTATGATCTTCATCAATATGAATTAATCGAGACCCAGGTGCCCCTTTACAGTATAACAATCGAATATCTGAAGTAACATCAAATCCTCTTCCAACTGCTTGGATTGCATTGCTTAATGTAGTGATTAATGCATCAGATTTTGCCATTTTTGAACAGGATTGAGCTCAGATAACTTGAAGAAAGCAGCAAGAACAAAGCTTTTTAATAGATTAAAAAAAACCCAAATAAAAAAAATAATATTTGCAAGAAATCCAGGGTTTTCTAGGGATTAAAATTGAAAGAAGAGGTGGGGTAGGTTGGACTTTTGAATGTACAAAGTAATGGAATGAAGAGTTGATGTTGTTGTTGTTGTGAGGTTTTGACTGTAATAATAATGGGTTGGCTGGCGGGGTTACTCAAACGCGTTTTTAGTGAATGTGAAGTGGAAGATTCGGCGTTGACTGGTCCTCTTTTCAAACCTTCAATACTCTCTTATCAAGGAAGCAAGTTCTTCCTTTTCTTTCTTTCTTTTTTTCTTTTTGTTTTTTTTAAACACTTCTTCAACAATGAACAATCCTATATGGAGGGGAGGTTTTTCTAGGTCCTTTAAGGTTTCTCATTCGAGTAAATACAAATATAAGGTACTCAACTTTGCATTTAGTTGTAGATGAGGTAATGAAGTTTGGAGTGAATCAAACAAGGTATTCAAACAAGTTATAACCTTCTATAACCGATAATCCTAAGCAAAACAAAGAGAAAATAAATTTGCTGACACAAGGTAGAAGTTTTCATAAATTTTTTTTAAAAAAATTAAATATTTGACATAAAAAAAAAGAAATTAAAAAAAATTAAACAAGAAAATCCTATCTTCTCCCTTTCCTTTTCTCTTCTCACAGATCTGTTCTCATTCTTCTCAGGGTTTTTCTCAATCCAGACCCCCCTTTTTCTCACCCCTCCTCTTTCTCACTTCTCTTCGCACTTGTGATCCCCTCTTTCTCATTCAATTTGGATTTTTGAGTTTCTTTTTCTCGTTCATCAGTTTCATTTGTGATTTAAGTGGTTAAATTCGACCTTAAAAATTCCAGATTTGGTGTCTTAATTGTCGAATTTGACCCTACAAAGTTATTAACTTATAAACCCATAGAAGATGAAATTTGAGATAGGTATGTTCGATATTTGTGTTTTTTTTGTTTATTTTATGTGATTTTTTTTCCTTTTTTAATTTTATTAATTTGTTTTTTTATATATTTTGTTCAGTTCGATTTTTGGTTAAGTTTCGTTTTTTTTTCTTTAATTTGCGTATTTTTGGGTTATTTTGGTTGTAATTATGGTGTATTTGATGTGTTTTTGGTGGTCTGTCGAGGCCTCGTGGTGGTGGTGTTGGGGAAATTGGTTAATAGGGTCACAAAGAAAGAACGAAAGGACAAATTAAACACTTCGAGGCGTGAACAAAATCACTATGTTGTCAAATGCATAACCCTATTTCACCATAGGTCAACACCAATAATAAAAATAAATAAACAATTATGTCATAACTATGTTGTCATAACCGCAACATCATATGACATATTTAAATCAATAAACTAAACCAATATTTTTATTTTTTTTTTGGCAAAACATCTATCCTTTCATCATGGTATTCAAGAATAATTAAATTCTTCCTCCAAAGCATGGACATCAGGAATGATAAATTCATTTCATTGATTCATCATCTACCAAAATCAGTGTCATGTATAAGATTTAATAGAACATATATACAAATTTTGACAAACTTCTCATTGCCATCAAATTTGTTTCATATACATACACTTATACAACTGATTTTACATGAAATTATTACACAAGACAACACCATGAAATAAAAAATCATTGTCTTGTAAGATAAAAACAATAATTTCAAAAGTTGAATAAATAAAATTATCAATTATATATACCATACTATCCATACTAATTTGTTCATGGCCTATCCAGATGGACATCATTTGAATCAAAACATTCGATTCGATCACCTCCACTGTACTCTAATTACCGTGGCTATTAGTCATAATCGCACGACCTATTGAAAACTCCAATTAACTTTTACCATGTATAGACCAATAACGTGCTTTATTAAAGCATAATAATTGTGATCTTACCACCGATAGTCATTCCATGCATGAATCACAATTAGCATATATAATACCAAATTACATATTCTATCAATTAACATAATGGGTACACATGTTAAGACTTTTCTGTAAACAAATCATCATCAAACCAAATCATAATTGACAAGTCATCCAGGCTAAATAACCATGAATTAAAAATCAAACAATGAATAAGCACATTCATCATTTCATTCATGGAAAGAAAGATGATAATAATATAGAAAAACTAACCAATTTGCCATGGATAAACGCAATAATAAACTACCGCAAATTGCATCGTTTTGATGGTACTGAACAAATTGTTCTCCCACTTGTTCCTCTTTCTTGTGACCTCTAATGTCAAGTTCTCCTACTTTTTCCATTTTCGTAAATCCACGCCCTCGAACTTGTCTAATTTCTAGAATTTTATTGTTAATTCCTTATGGTTGCCATCTTTGTAGAACAATTATTACTTTGGATTGTTTGGGAAATTAATTAACAGAGTCACAAGGAAAAACGAAAGGACAAATTAAATATTTCGAGGCGTGAACAAAATCACTTTTCCAAAGTAATATTTTGACCCTAATTTACACACCAGGTATCACGAATTTACTAGGAGATACAACGAAGACAATCACAACAGTGTGTAGTATGGAGTGCTAGTGTGCGATGGGTATTGGTGCAACTGGAGGGTGGTGGTTATTGGTCCGAAAATGGGCGGGGGTTGGTCCAATAATGGGTGTGTTTCTTTTTGTTCAATTTTGTTGTGTTTTTGGTTTGATTTTTGTTTATTTGAGTTTGATATCATATCTTAGGGTTTGATTTTTGTTTATTTGGGTTTAATTTCAGATTATTAAAATTGATTTTTGATTATTTGGGTTTGATTTCATATTATTGAATTTGATTTTTGTTTATTTGAATTTGATATTTGATTTGGGTTTGATTTGTTATTTTGGTTTAATTTTTGTTTAATTGTAGTCATTTTTATACTAAAACAAAGGTAACTGATTGAAAGAGGTCATTACCGGAAAAATTACCTCCGATGAAAGTTTCAATACCTTATTTGCCATGATTCATAGTTGAATACCTTAGTTGCTACAACTATCAAAGTCCAATACCTTCCGTTTCTATTAACTCTTTCTCATTCTGTTTTTAAAGGGTTTTTTCATTCTTCTCCATTTTCTCTCCTTTCTTTTTTTTTTTATTATTCTTAATGTCCCTTATTTTCTGCCCCATTTGATTTTTTACGGTCTTTAAGACGCATCTTCAAATGTATATATCTCTATTTCTATATGCACGAAATTATAAAAACTTGATTTTAATAAAATTCTAGGTTAGGGCCCGTGCCATGCACGGTAGTTTCACTATATTAATGGACAAAATTCAACTGTAACATAATTCACATTTATTTTCTTCTTATTTCACACATATATTAAAATTAAACATGAAATATAACGAAAGAATTGATTAGACCATGAGTATATTAAAACTACATCCTTAGACTATATGAGTGTTTAACAAATTCAATGATAAATGTAAGGAATAAAATATGGTGTATTAGCCAAATAAGTATTTTACAATTATGTTTACACCTAATAATGGAAGGGTATAATATCCACAATTTTTTTTTTGAAACCCATTGGTATATAATATCCCCGTTTTAATAATATTTGGTCAATTTTTTAAGAAATTCTCAATGGTAGCCAACATTTTTTTTTTATTATCAATGGTAGGCTTGAACTTTTACAAGTTAACAAATGTGACCTTAATAGTGAAATTTGGTTAAAAAAAATCAGTTAAATCTCACAGTTTTTAAACCATGATTATCATCACAAAAGTTTACTATCTTCGTCAATTCATGTTCACACCTACCTCCCCTGGTAAAAAATAAAAAAAAAAAAAAAAAAAATCCCTACCTCCATTTTCTCTTTCCTCCTCAGCCACACTCTCTCCCTTCCACAACCACCACCAAGACCACCGCCATCCTCCGCTCCACCACTGCATCCCTCACCTCTTCCAATGTCTCTCCTCCCACTCTCACTCCTTAAATCCTCAACTCCTGCTGCCAAAGACACCAAATCTACCACCATCATTAACCACCATTAAAGTCTTAAGTTCAACAAAAGAGAAATTAATGAAGCCACCATCATTATTCCTCTGATTTCGAACCTAGAAATTGATGAAGCCATCATTATAATTAAGAGTTCAAGAGCTGAATTGAAAAATGGACGTTTGATTTGGGAGTTTTAGCTTTAATGGGGTTATTGGCGAAGACGAGAGATTGCAGATTAATGGAAGATATGGTTGAAAAGTGGAGAGACAGTGAAGAGGTGAATTTAAAGAAGAGAGATGCGGTTGTTTTTGTGGAGGATAGAAGCAGGGGCATTGGTGGTAGTATTCTAGTACATTTGTGGTGTTATTTGTTTTTGAAGCGATTAATTTTGCAGAAATGAGACGAGGAAGAAGAAACTAGGGTTGTCATTTAACGTTTTTATCTTTATAATAAGGTCAACGATGCAAATTTTTACAAGAGCTCCCTACTCCCCCCCCCCCCCCCCCACCCCGTACTACGTCGTTTTTACGCATTTTTGTTTTCCTTTTTTTTCCTCTCCTTATTATAAACCATATATATATATATATATATATATATATAGGGAAGGGATCCGGTAAGAACCCCTCCCTATATAAGAACCCTACTTATATAAGAACTAATCTTAATCGTAAGATTAGATTGATATGAACGGCCACGATTAAAACAAATCACAAACCCTCAAACTCAAACAGCTTTCACTTTCTCTCTCCTCAATCTAACTGTTTGTGAGTTTCTCTCTCCTCAAAAGTGCCAGAAGCTGAACTTCGAAGAACTTTCAACAATTTTCCTTCATTTTCTCGGTTAAAATCAACAACATCAATCATAAAATAAGTTAAATTTCACAAATTAAGAGCAAATTTTGGCGAAAAAACTCTAGATATCACAATTCAGGTATGATTATATTCGACCATTTGTTTGTTTTTTCACGAATTTTCAGTGATTTTTGTGATTTGATATTTGCGTTTTATCTGTTTTGATTTTCATAAATTTTGCATGAGTTCGATTTTTTCTGATTTGATTTTAATGAATTTCGCATGGAGTTTGATTTTTTTGAGTTCGATTTTTGCAAATTTAGGGTTCGTATTTAGGGTTCGATTTTTGCGGATTTAGGATTCGAATTTAGAGTTTGATTTTTGCTTATTTTTGCGGATTTGTAGTTCGATTTTAGATTTCGAATTTCGGAGATTTAGTGTTCGAATTTAGGGTTCGATTTTTGCTGATTTTAGCGGATTTCGATTTCGAATTAATGGCTGGTGGAGGCCAGCACTGCTGTCGGTGATGGCTATGAGGCTGTTTCGCCGGCTGACGGTGTACCCGCTTATTGCGAAATCCCTAGACTGATAGAAAACCTTGCTTCAAGCCTCAATGGTGGTTCACTAATGGATGTTCAAATTAGGGATAGGTGATTTCAAAGTTTAAGCTCCTTCATCTTTTTTGGCTTTTCTTTTTACATATTTTGGACGTCATATCTGTTTATGCTATTTCAATTTCATCGCTATTAGTACTTAATTCAGTTATATTTTGTTATTGAATCTGCTTTTATCAATTAACTCTATTTTTTTTTTTCTTTCTGTTAGCCTGTATAATTTCAGCATAGTTACTTGTCAGCTAGCACTCAGGCTCTCAAATGGAAAGAGAGAAAGTGGAGAGAGTAATGTTGGGGGGGAAAACATTTCAAATGACAGCGATCTATGTGTTTTAATATTTAGGCCACTGATAAAGTCCTCATAAGCTGGTAATTATTGCCTATAATTTAACCTTGATAGTTGATATTGTCCTTATAGATGCTATATGCCCTATTTTGATATCGAAGAGAGTATTGCTCGCATCTAGCATTGAACTGATGTTTTTGTTGCTGGTATACTTTTAGAAGGTTGAGTTCCTAAAGAAAGGAAGCTTTAGTCCTGCTGAGCTTGAGGCTCTGGTCTCCATCATGCAAATAGCTGGTGAAAAGGCCAGGGCAGAGCAAAGCTGGTGAAAGGCCAGGGGCAGAGCAAAGCTGGTGAAAGGTCAGGGCAGAGTAAACCTGGAGAAAGAAGTAGTTCTACAGGAACACCATCGATAAGTAAATCAATTACTAGTTTGGAAGCCATGGGCGTACGTGTATTCGGCCTTGATGAACCACTTGTTGGTAATGCCAAAGAAGAGGTATCATGGGATACCATTGCTGGCTATGATCAGCAAAAGAGGTATTTAAAATGCGGGGCTTTGACGGTGAATTATTTCTGATGAGGGCTTCCCTAGTTCAATTCACTAATAATTTCAAGTAAGTTCTGATAAGTTTAGAGAAAGGTCTTTAGGTGAATTAAAGGAAGTCAAATTAAAATGGTATACCAGAATGGTCTCTCCTAGATGGAGGGTATATGGAAACAAAAATTTAGAACATCAAGTCAATTTGATTTGTATAAGTGTTTGTGAGTAGTTGGTATGGCTAAATTTAGAACATAGGAAAAAAAAACTTTAGAACATAAGTAGACTAAATTTAGAACATAGGAAAAAAATAATTTAGAACATAGGTAAAAGAATATTTAGAACATAGGAAAAAAAAAACTTTAGAACATAGGAAAGAAAAAAAAACTTTAGAACATAAGTAGACTAAATTTAGAATATAGGCAAAAGAATTTAGAACATAGGTAAAAGAATATTTAGAACATAGGAAAAAAAAAAAAACTTTAGAACATAGGTAGAAAAAATTTAGAACATAGGAAAAAAAAAACTTTAGAATATAGGTAGAAAAAACTTTAGAACATAGGTGTAGAATATACGAACAACTTTAGAACATAGGAAAAATTTGGGACATGAGAAAATGATTTGCAACATAGTAAAAATTTAGAACATTGGGAAAAAAATTGGAAATTTAGAATATTGGGAAAAAAATATTGGGAAAAAAAATAAGGGCATAGAAAATAAGTTTAGAACATATACTAAAAATTTAGAACATAGTGTGAAAAAATTTAGAACATAAGGTGAAAAAATTTAGAACATAGATAGAAAAAATTTAGAACGTACAGAAAAAAAAATTAGAAAATAGGTAGAAAAGATTTTGAACATAGGATAAAATTTAGAACATAGGAAATAAATTTAGAACATAGACAAAAAAATTTGAATATAGGATATATATGTAGAACATGGACAAAAAACTTTAGAACATAAACAATAAAATGTAGAACATAGGAAAATAGTTTAGAACATATATATATTTAGAGCTTAGATTGAAAAATTTAGAGCTTAAGCAATAAATTATAGAACATATGCAAATAATATTTAGAACATATGATAAAACCTATTAGCTCAATTGGAAGAGCACTATGCAAATGCATAGAGGATGTAGGTTCAATTCCTACATAGGTTATCTTTATAAATAACTAAAAAAAACTTCAAATGTTTTTTTTTAAAAAAAAATCCAATAAAACAAATTAAATTAGCATTAAGTTATATGAGCAGAAAATAAGTACACTAAATTTAGAATATAGGAAAAAAAAACTTTAGAACATAAGTAGACTAAATTTTGAACATAGATAAAAGAATATTTAGAATATAGGTAAAAGAATATTTAGAACGTAAACAAAAAAAAAGAAAAAAAAAAAGAAACTTTAGAACATAGGTAGTAAAAATTTAGAACTTAGGAAAAAAAAACTTTAGAACATAAGTAGACTGAATTTAGATCATAGGCAAAAGAATTTAGAACATAGGTAAAAGAATATTTAGAACATAAGAAGAAGAAAAAAAAACTTTAGAACATAGGTTGGAAAAATTTAGAACATAGGAAGAAAAAAAAAAAAAAAAAAAAAAAAAAAACTTTAGTATATAAGTAGACTAAATTTGGAACATAGAAAAAAAAAATTAGAAAATAGGTAGACTAGATTTAGAACATAAGAGTAGGCAAAAAAAATTTAAAACATAAAAAAAGAATTACAGAAATGCCATTACTAAAGGATGGTTTTAGATGGTTGGATCAAAACTAATAAATGGTTGAGATTGGTTCTTATATAAGATTGAGTTCTTATATAGAGGAGGGTTCTTACATGAGCCTTCCTCTATATATATATATATATATATATATATATATATATATATATATATATATATATATATATATATATATATATATATATATATATTTAATACGGTTTATAATCTAATTTTCTGTTTTTTCATTCATTTTTGTGCATTTTCTCTCTTTTGTTCGTTATTTCTCTCTTATTCATTTGTTTTGATTTTAAATTTCTCCCTCATTCATGGATAAATCGTTGATTGGAGTTGTTGATCGTGATTGTGAAGTTATTTTTCTTTCTGGTGTTGGATTGCTTGATTCATTTGTTGATCAATGTGAGTTGCTTTGATCAATTTTATTATTATTTTTTATTTTTGTCTCTGTTTTTGTTCAATTTGTGTACTTTGTTTTTTTTCAAGTTTGTTAGCTCTTTTTTGTTTATTGATTTCTGATTTTGATTGCTATTTTTACGTTACTCTGTATTTGAATTTCTGTATTTATTCGATTTCTTATTTTGATTGTTATTGCGTGTTTATTCGAATTTTTTTTTATTTTAGTGTACATTTTATTTTTATTTTTGCTTTATTGTACTAATTTATAGTTATTTTTGTAGTTTTTATTTCTTAATTGTAACTAAGTAGGTGTTTTACGCGGTTGATTATATTTTATTTCTATGAACAACAATTATTTTGTTATAATGTTCAGTAGATTTTGTAGATACTTTTTTGCGGTTTTTTTTAGTAGTTTTTATCATTTTGATCAATTTGATATAGCTAAATGATCATTTTTATTTATATTAATGTTCTGGTATAATTATTTACATGATATTTTTTTGATATTCAGTAATTTATTTTATTGTAATTATTATAATTTGTTGTTTATTATTTTGATCAATTTAATAATGCTAAGTGATCATTTAGATTTCTATTGTTTATTGTTTTGTTATCGTACATATATGTTACTGATTATATATGTTCATTTTTTGAAAAACTTATGCAGTGGGTAATAGTGATGAAATTCTTTTTGAAGAAGCAAGTACATCAGAGTTACTTGGTTGTAGATTTTAATTCTGAACAAGAAGCTTATGAAATTTATGATGAATATGCTTTTAGGCATGAGTTTGGTATTAGAATTGATAAGAGTAATAACCGAAATGATTACTCTTTGAAGATGAAAGATTTGTTTGTAATGAAGGTTAAAAAGAATGATAAGGCTAAGAATAATAGGTCTTATGAGAGACTTGAAACTAGAACTTGTTGTTTGGCTTTTATTCAGTTCAATTCAGGATTGATCGTTTAAATGTATTGACTTGTACAAAGCATTATATGAAACATAATCATCATATGATTCCTCTTGAAAAGTGACATTTGTTAAGGTCTCAAAGGTGAAAATTTGGAATTTATGTCTACATTAAGGTGTAGTGGAGTTCAAGTTTCTGCAGTTTTAATTTGAGAGCATTGAAGAAGGATGTTGATGGGTCTCCTAATTTAGAATTTACGGGATCGGATGCCTATAATGCTTTATCTGCTGAAAAGCGATCTTTAATTGATGGTTGTCATAGTCATCAACTTATCAAATATTTTGCTAAAAGACACCTTAATGAAGCTGAATTTTATTATGATTTTGAACAAGTGAGGATGGGTGTTTAGTTAATTTTTTTGGGCGTGATGGCCGGATGAAGAGAGATTATGAGTATTTTGGAGATTTGCTGGTTTTTGATACCTTATTTAGGATGAATAAGTATGGTATGATTTGTGCACCATTTGTTAGAATGAATCATCATGCTAATAACATAATGTTTGGTATGGGTTTTATTCTCAATGAGCAAACAAAATCTTTTGTGTGGTCGTTTGATACTTTTTAAAACTTTATGAGGAAGAAAAGTCTTATCACAATTATGACAGATCAAGCTTAGGCAATTGCAGCTGGTATTTGGAATGTTTTTCTTCCAAGTGTCCATCACCGTCTATGTGTTTGGAACATTGAGCAAAATTTAAAGAAGCATATTGGTGCTTTGAGAGCTTTGGATGGTTTTACAGATTTGTTTGGTTATTTGCTGAAGTATTGTGAAACCTCTGCTGAATTTGAGCATTTTTAGAATAGGTATTTTAATTATTTCTAAATATAACATCTATTGCGATTTTGTTTATTTATCTTTGTAAATATGATCATTTTACTTTATATATATGTACATTATAATCGATAGTTTGTTCATTGTCACATTATCTAATGATCATTTTTGTTTATGCAAAATGTTGATGAAATATAAATGTGAAAAGGATGATTGGTTGTGTGATTTGTACAAGATTAAAGAGATGTGGTGTCCAGCCTATTCTAAGAAGTATTGGTCTGGTGGTGATTTGTCATCTCAACGGAGTGAAACTGCAAATAAACTTGTTTCAGAAAGGCTAAATAAGACACAAGGTTTGTGTAATTTCTATCATGTGTTCCTTGATGTTACTTCTGAGTGGAGGAGCAAAGAAAATGGAAATTATTTTAATACATTGTGGGCTAATCGTCATCTTGCTTATGCTAATATTAATATTTTCATGCTAGACCTTTGTACACCATTCAAGCATATGTTATTTTTGAAGAAGAGTTCATTAAGGGTACTACGTATGATCATTCAGATGCTAGTCTTCATTTCCCTAAATATGCATACTATTTATGGAGACCCGAGAAGGATTTGATTAGCATGAAGTTGTTTTCAACAAAGAAACTCATTCTATATGATGCACATGCATGTATATTAGAGAAATGGGATTGTTATGCTCTCATGCTCTTCGTGTATATATGCATTGTGTATCTAAGATTCTCAATGAGTATATTGTTAAGCGTTGGACTAAGGCTGCCATGTGTACTCATACTGTTGATGAACCTTCTTTGAGAACTAATATTGTTTGGAGGCCACAAACACTAAGGAAGTTTGTGAAGTTGGTAACTAGTTGCCAAAATTCTTTGAATGCAAGAGCAGAAGTTGACTGTTATTTTAATATTTTAAAAGACAAAGTTAAGAGTATTAGGGTTACAATTAACTTCAATGAGTCTGCTGAAGGTATTGATATTATTGACCTTGAAGTTAATAATCCTCCCAAAAAAGGCTTGCTGGTGAGAGAAATGTACGGCCTAAGAGTACTTTAGAAAAGGAGTGTAACGAAGCTAGGGGTAATTGCCCGTTCAAAAATAAAAAAGGTAGGGGTAATTGGAGGAAGAGAAAGTCATTATATGCACCTTA